GTTAGTTCAGTTTGGGACTTGTCAGCAGTGCTTGGTCCCCGTCAAGACTCGAACCGCGAACCTTCGCGTTGAGACTTCAACCCCCCTTACCACTAAGCTACACGGTCGACGTTCACCACCTTGTGCGAAAGGCAGAAGCAAAATGAATTATTCTTGAAACTAACAAATCGTTATTGTCGGATAGCGAGATGGAGTGAATGAAACTCCGCTAATCGATGACAAATTCACATTTTACTCAAACAAAGTACTAAATGGATAGAGTTTGGGCCAAATCGGAGGGAGATAAAAAAGTGAACCTCTATGGTCAACACAGTGCATTACCTCACTGGGCACACAACATTTCAAACATTCTGACATGATTAGCAAGCTAAAAAGAAACGGTCGGTCAGTTGCCGTATCGTTCAGTACCTCCAATCAACCACATGCAGAATCTTTTGGACACCAAACTGGAAAACAAGAGATACCTACTCTATCTAATACCTGTGTACATTTCGTCGTGCCTCGTATCCACGTGATCTGTTTCACCTCCAGGGGGTTTAGTTCAGTCCGGAGTGAATGCAGCAAATAAAACGCGGTGCGGCAGACGACAGTCGGGCATGCGCAATACGCGCTTGAAACAACGAAGTCGACTAATCTGAATTCGATGTGACAACAAATCGTTCACCGAATCATGATCAAGTACGCGATAGGTTACACTAGAGTTGCGTACACACTGGCACCATTCAATCTAACAAAACGTGTACTATCCTGTGTCACAGGCCCTCGTTCAAGAGTTCGGCAAAGAATCATTGGAGCTGTGAGTAAACTGAGACGAGGCAAACATAGAAATCTCCGCCATCTCCCCAACCTGGCACCATTAGTTTCGATCTACGGGATCAACCAAACAATTACCCAGCGGCTTCCATATTCAACCCGAAGATCTGGTTTATAAGGATTGGACTAGGAGGCTGCAAGCAACCAACATTCAACCCGACCAATTGTCGTCATCAAGTCGTGAAAACCCACAAAGCCGGTTCATACTCGGGTGAGTGGGATCCGCACTGAGATGAGGCTGAACACTGCCCCATAAGACAGATATAGAGTGAGATGGACGGAGGAACCAGAGGAAGACAAATTTTAACCAAATTGTATCATTGATTACACACACACGCGCGCGCAATCAATCAATTAGACATGCGACAAGAGAAGATGAAAATTGGTCCTGGTCGTGAACAAATAAAAGATGTTTGTGTGTGAGTGAGTGACAGGTAAACTGTGTGCTGCAAATGAAAGAAAATGAGGGATACAAGAAGAGATGTTTTCCAGTGAGGTTGAAAAAAAGTTCCCTCAGTACACACACACACGGGCGCGGGCGAATGGAAACCCAAAGAAGTGAGTTAGTGGATAGGTGGATGGATGAGGGTGGGGTCGGAAACAGACAGCCGAAG